ATTCCGTTGATGGCGTTTAAGCGCGCGCGTTGCTACCGGACGGAAAACGCTCGTGCCCGCCAAACGAAACGTGTAAATAATCCGTTTCTGAATCAGAAACACGTGCGCAAACAACTGTTGAATCGTGATAAAATTACGATCGTAAGGATCGTAACCTAACCGTACGCGATGTTTTTCTACCGGTTCTAATGCACTACGTACGGGGACGAACCGTGAAACCCAACAGCTAGTTATCGGACTGTTGATCGAGTCCGGTGCGAATTTCAAAATTGATTTCAACGTTTCGCGTTCGAACTCGTTCGTTTTATTTCCACCTTTTTCGACGAGTCGTATAAACGCTGTCAAAATCCTCATTCGAGCATTATGATCTTTAAATAATTGTTTAAATAGTTCTATGTTTCCGTAATCTTCTGGCTTATCGATTAGAAAAATGCACTGTTCTTATTGAATATGTCTTACATTACCTAACGTTTAGCACAAAGCTCTATAGGAAATGTTCTTAGAGAATTCAGTGATCAGTATTATTGCACATTGCATTATGGATTTAACCTATACACTGTGATCGAAACCAAGGTCGTAACTGGGGGGGTTCAGGGGTCCGGACCCCCCCCCCCCCGAAATTTTCAAAAGTAGAAAAATTTTAGCGGTGAATATAGTTTATTAACTATAAATTGTACTAAATGATAATGTTAGACCCCCCCCCCCCCCAAAATTTTTTTCCAGTTACGGCCTTGATCGAAACGTTGGGTAGGTTTGTTTGAGAAACGAAATCGAAATATTATGATATTGTCCCAGAAATGGAATTTCTACTACTGCAATTTAAGTGATATGTAGGTATTGCGACGTAATTATACAAAAATCTCGATATTTTCTTCTTTCAACTAGTGTTATAATTGCACGTTATGCTTCTAAATACTATGATGTCATAATTTGATTGTAATAACATAACATCAAGTAGTTGCAGGCTGGTTTAACCGAGAGTTACGCATCGTATTCAAACTAAATATAGGTTATGAATAGCAATATTAAACTTTTTATACGAGAAATAATACTGTTTTTTGTTAAAACAATGGTTTAATAAAAAGTTGAAATTCGACCGTGATGGTTGTAATTTGTGAATTAATTTTAATTCGTGGATTTTAATTATATATTTTACGTTTATACCTAGTACGAAAAAAAATCAAAAAACTCTAGACCAACAAAAATAATCACGCATAAACAATTCTATTATGTAATTTCGTGTACGTTTGTACGACGTGCATTTCGCAGTAATTCGACTACTTCCGAATTCAAGTATTTAAGAACTTTTGCACATGGGTTCGAATAGTTATCCTCCGTTGTCGTGTACTATATCGAAATCGTATAGTGTTTCCATGTGTCACGAAAACGCTTTTTGCGAAAAGACGTGCAAAAATATGTCAAACGCTGTCAAATAATTATTGTTCAACTACGGTGGCTATGTTTATTCACAAACACGTCGATTGTAAACGCACGTTCTCCGACGATATTCCATTGCATGATGATAATATAATAATAATAATTCGATTATAATCGAAGCGAAATGTTTTCTAAAAGAATGCAGGTAAAGGTAACATGTTAAAGTGGAATGTTAAAAATTGGTAAAAGTCAATAATCGTCCTTTAGAGGTTTTCGAATTCGTTTTTTTTTATGCGCGGTGAAAATCGTATGATCGTTTCTCGATCGCACCACCATCGGAACGTTCGAGGACCACCTGTTTTAGTGTTTCACAGCCGGTTACTCCGGTCGAATGAAATCGCTCAAAACGATTAATTCGGTACGCTATGCGTTCCAGGGTAAACCGTCCGGCAGATATCCAGTACCCACCCTTAAGCACGTATTCGCCGGCACACCGATAGCACCACCGGAAATCGTTCGGCTGTTTCTCTCCGTTTCCGACGTATTCTCATGCGTTTGATTATCATGGTGTCGTGCGAGCTATGTCACGCGCACACTCGTAACCGATGCAAAAATAATATTGCTATTCTAGTCGGTGTATAAATGTCGTCGCCAATGGTTTTTTTTGTCCCCCCCCCCCCCTCGACGAAATTATTACGTTATTAATAATTTATCATTGTTATTATAATTATTAATATTATAACCATCGTTATCATTATTGTAGCGTTTTTTTTTTTTTTAAATTTTTTTGTATCCGTTTCTCGTAACGTAGACGACAGTAGGTACTTCCGAACGTTTTGCACGACGAGGTATAATAATAACGTAATAGTATTCGCTTCTGTACGGTTATGTGTGCACGTGCGCAAAACCGACGCGTATCTAAACAATACGTTAACGGTCGTGCGCGCGCGTACAACGGTAATGACAACGATAGTAAATAGCAGTAATATTGTTGAGTGCGTGTGTGAGATGTTTAAAAGAGTGAAACGACACGGGCCGCCTCCGCGACGGTGACGAAGTGGTGAAAGTGGTCGTTGGCCGTTTCGGCTGCGACCGGACAAACCCGCGCGCGCGTAAGAACCGACGGACGAACGGTGTGGTTAATACTAACCCGGTCCGGTTGTTAAATAATGATAAATATTAGGATTACTGCACACGTGAATTATGCAACTGCGGCGCGAACGACGGGCGAAATGACTAATAAAAATATTCAAATGCAAGCGCGCACAAAAAATCCGTAACGTTATTACAATGTACGTACGAGGTATAATTATTATGATGGCGAGTAAAACAGCGATGACGGCGATAGTGGAAAAAAAAAAAAAATGAAAAAAAACGAAAGTGAAAGACGAAAACAAAAATCAAAGATGTACCACGACTGGAGACAGGATTTTTTAATGCGGCAAACGCCTAAGAACCGTACGATTAAAATGTGCGATACGTGCGAAATCTTGAAAAAAACAAATTTTTTCTCGGAATTACATAACAAATTTTTCATCATAAGTACCTATTTTAAATTTTATTTTTATTACTATTCATTTTTTTTTTTTATAATATTATTGATTACTATTCGGCATTAACTATTAAATATTGTATAAAAAATATAAAATTCAAACCGATCTGCAATATTTGATTAAACGTAATCATCGTTTTTTTTTTCTTTAAAATTATGTGAAATATACATAATTATATTATTAAACATAAAAGTCCAATGCTTCGTGTAACATTTTAACAGAGCAATGATAAAGTAACATAAAGTACAAAATAATATCTGTTGTAATAGAACACTCAGCAAACTTATTCGTAATAATCTGTACATTTTTATAACAAAAAAACCGGAACCAGACAATTTTGTGCAAAGTAAAACTTTCTTTAAATTAATCTACTTGATTTCGATTTGTAGCTTGTTTCTATTGGGTTCCAAAGATTACGCCTTAAAAAGTTGCAATCGCACGAGAATCCAGTCTTTAACCATGACAGTTGTCCGCGTGGACCGTCATCTGAACATATTATTGTAATTCGCGTATAATAATAAAAAGAGCACTAGCACCTCTCTTTGATCTTTGAAGAAAGCCACCACGATCGACGAGACGAGTTACGTATTGCCGCATACATAATTTAAAATCATCAATATCGTACAGAAGATTGTGTAACAATTTGTATTTTATCAAAGGTAAACATATTATATTTTCTCGATGACTACGACATATGAACACCGTACAATAGACCGATTATTATCCCTAACAAGTTATAAGTAAAAAATTAAACAGAAATTATCGTATCACATACCGTTACATCAGTTGAACGAGTAAAATATACTGTCGACAATATACAATAGCTGAGAAAAACGTAACTCGAAATAATTTTAAAATGTTTTACGGTGATGAAATGAAAAATCGGTTTTGTCAAACAATTCACAGTGCGCCGTGCGAAGCCGGATAAATCGCACTTTTGTTTCCAGGTTTTTTATTGATGCCGGAGTCGGTGCTTTTGGCTTACGAATAATAAACCATCATATCAATGGCGGTAGTGCATAAGTAAGCTAAAATGATTGTAATGTCTCGCGGACGTACGACGTACGTGATATTTGCGTGCGTACAAGTCGTGTAACGGACACGTACGTACCGGTGACCGAATCATGGCGCGCACATAACATGTATGTTAAACAGAATCGATGACGCACGAGAAAACGGAATCGAAGCGATTCGTTCACGATAATTGCTTACGCCTAATAAATAATAATAATAAAAAAATGATAGTTAAACGTTATCGTCGACGATCTGATTTTGCAACGGACGCGAGCAACGTTACGTTTTCTGTGCACCCTCACGCGTCAGCTTTGAGAAAATGAGCGCCCGAGCCACTTCTCCTTACCCGTCGTCGTGCGGCACATGCTCTTCGACGTTCCGATCGACGACGTGCGACGCCTCGGCCGAGTCGTGCGATCGTAACGTAAAGGGTGCGCTTTTACTTTCGGTGAAGCCCTTCCGTTCGACACTAGTTCGTTTATTCCATTAAAATTATTATTTTTTTTTTTTTTATTCAGATTTAGTGATCTGTAATAGTAATGTAGTCACGATTAATTGATAGACGAGTACTTGGAATTCGTCAGCCGACGGTTATAAAACTCATCGCGGCCCCTTTCAACTCGCAGCCCCGTGCTCCTTGCCCGCGGTCCAGCCCTGTCGCCACCCATCCTGAACCACAACGTACGCAAAAAAAAAAATAATAAACAGAAATACCATACGCGCACCCGCGTAGTCCGGCGCACGGTTAGTCGGGCACTCGGATTCGTAACCACCGGAAATCACGCGACGGGTTTAAAAGCGCGTTCGCGAAACACGCGTGTACGCGCAACACCGTTACGGCACACGTAACATCTCTTATCGCGGCGCGTAATCGAGAGTTTTTTTTTTTTTTTTCGTCCGAATGTTTTCGATCGACTCGGACTTTTACCCGAGAAACGGGTCCGGCAAAAAACGCGAAACGCGGCGGGACGACGGCGAGCAGGAAGTAGCGGCCGAACACCGCGTCCGGTTTGACCGCGTGTCTCCGTGCCGCGGTCGTTAACTAACAATCCTTACCTCTCGACTCCGGTCTCGGTTCCTCCGCCGATCTTCGCAGCTCCTCCTGGTCCTCTCGGGAATCGATCGCTCGTGCGCGGGATGACAGAAGAAGAAAAAAAAATAATTGTTAATTTTAATTCTTACTACGAGTTCACGGGATACGCACTGTCCCCTCGGAAAGCGCACAACCTACGCGATGCACGCACACGTACAAACACATACACGCGCACACGCACACTCTCGCGCGCGCGACAGATACGACGTTCCAAGTGCAGCAGCGGTGCAGCAGCGCTTTTTACATACGCGTATTTTATTTTTGATTATTATTTTTCTTTCGTTTTATCTATTCACAAGGAATGTTTGTTGTTTCGTGTGCGTGCGGTGCGTCGGTGCCGCTTGATCTCCGGGATGCGAGTGCGCTACGAATGCGGCCCGTGGTCGGTTCTTCGGTAGCGATCAGGACGTCAACGACGCGGTGAACGTTCGAAGCGAGTGCGAGCGACAAGGCGGCGGTCGCGGTCGCGGTGGCAGGACCGTACGAGAAAGAAAAGGAGAAAAAAAAAAAAATTTAAAAAATGAAAGTAGTTTCGTACGCGACGTTCAATAATATTCGTGTTACGTGTGTTGTGCAGTTGGTGCCGCTCTTGTCGGACGGTCGCGGCGGTTAGAGAGGGGAGGGGGGCACACGGACGACCATCACGTTAAACACTTCAGGACACGTGTGCGCGCGCGCCAAGTATCGCGTTTGTTGTTACGTTCGTTAGGACTAGTGATCAATATGGTACCGATTTAAAAGTGACTTTGTGGGCCGAATTTATCCGATTGCGAAACCGAAACATTAGAAAACACTTAAGGTTTAAAAAAAAAAAAAAAAATAGAGCGTCATCACTTATGGATTTCAAAATGTTACACAATTTATAATAATATGCTAAAATTCTGATTAAATATATTTAAAAATAAAAAAAATACCCGGACGACGAATGACTCGTTATTTCGTGTAAATACATTCTAATACGGTGACCAAGCCGGTGATTCGTCTTATGAAAACGGTCTTGGTAGTCATACGGGTTTAATGGGTTGTACGCAGTGCAAACTACTTTTTTAATTAACACTAAAAGTATTGTCTTCGTAAACGCATCGAACTCGATTGGAAGAAAACAATTATCACTCTGTCGAATGAGAAGTGAAACAATAAAAACGTATTGGAAAAACCCAAATAAAAGAAGAGACAAGTGGAACGAAAGGGTTGTGCAATAGAGTAATGAGTAGTGAGTGGACAAATGGTTCGGACGTTTAGTCTAATAAATTGCATGTGATATGTGTGTGTGTGTTAGTGATTGTTTGGTAATAACCGGCTAGGTAGATTACGAAAGTGGCGACCACGCTCTCACTCTCGCTCTCACTGACCATCTTCATCACGGCAGCATTGAATCAATACAAAAATATAACACAAATTAACATGTTGTTTTTTTTTTTTTTAATATAATTATGTATCAACGAATGACGACAGTTGACATAATTGTGTGTGCATCTTATTTTATCTCGTATGTGTGTTGTGAACAAGCAAGCTCGGAAAAAGCTTTTAGAATCCTCGACAACAGCCAAAAAATAAAATTACTGATTTAAATTAATAATTAGGACTCAAAAGTTAATAATTTAAAAAACCTAAAAAAATTCTTGAAAAAAAAAATCGTAATTTTACAAAAAATAAAAAGAAAAAATTATTTTTCAAAATAATCCGAGAAAATGGTTAAAAAAGAGAAATAATAACATAATTTATACAGTTACCTTTCATAACTAAAATAAATAATCGTCGATTGAAAATACATCATGTTCAAATTCTGATATAACTACACGTAAACGAGCATTAGCTGAAGTTTTGAATTTTGGCATAGCGAAAAATATATAAATAATATTGCACAACGACGGAAAAAAATGAAATTATAATTGACGTTCCGTTTCCTGGGAATGCGTCGAGTATCAAACAAAATTACTGAATAAAATACACTAAAATTGTAGAATAAGTCCTGAAAAGATAAAATACCAATTGATCCATTATGGTATGATAAAAAATAATTAAATTTATTTCAGATACTTGAAAATTTGAGTTAGCTTAATTTACGCCTTGCTATAATTTAAACAATAATACACTTTTGAGGAGTTTTTTAGTAAAAATAAGGTTTAAAACTTAAAATGTATCAATTATGATTTTATAATATCTAAGCAAAAATAGTGAAATAACGATAAAAATTAATAAAATAATCTTAAAGATGGATAATATAAAAAAAAAAAATATGACAAAATATAAAATATAAAATTAAAAGTTATAAATTATCTCTATTTGTCAAATAATGCTGATGCTTTACAAATTATATTAACTATACAATAAATATAAAAAAAACCGAGAACGGGTGGTTTTCTTTTCAATCAGAATATGGTAATTTTTTTTTTTTTTATTACAAAATAAAATTTATTAAGGGTCTTATATTCGGTTTTCAAGTCTTTGGTATTACAATTGAAAGCTTAATGAATATTTAATTATAAATATGTATGATTTTACGAGTAGTAGAGTTTTATCTTTATTTGTATATACATATGATTACATATTAAAGTTATATAAAAAAGAAAGACACCTACATAATGGTAAATCCAATTCATTTCCATGTTTCTCTAAAAAGAAAGTTAAAAAGGAATCATGTGAAAATATTACAGGGTGGAAAAAGTATCTATTTACGATCCTAAAATAGCAAGTGTACTGTTTTTAACAAATAAAAAAGTATAATATTTAATTTAAAAATTGAAAAACTATGACGAACTGCAATATCAATTGTATAATAATAAACTAATATGTATTTTAAGAACCAATATTTAAATTCGTATTTATGTACTTCAGCAATAGCATAATTACATTTTATAATAGTAAATAGTTAAGTAATACTCGTGAATAAATGTATAAATAAATATTTATATATAGAAATAAACATAGAGTATTATTATATGTGTAGTGTACGACCGGTTTCGAATATAAAATTCATCATCAGGTATGAAAGCTAATTAAATCGAGACTAAAATTGAAAAAAAAAATTGGTCACTTTACACTGGGATAATTTATTTTAACAGGAGATATTATTTAAAATAAGTTCTTATTAGACATAGATAAGTTATGAAATATAAATACTTTTGGTTATTATTTATCATTTCCTATTTAAAACGTATTGATATAAAATATTTATTATATTCAATTATAATTTTTATATTATTTACGTCCAATATATGCCACTGCGTTAGAGACTATAATATTGAAAACCTAATAATGTTTTCATTTTTATACAATACGCGCTAAAAAATTTCTATTTATTATTGTTTTAACAGAATATTTGCATTTTTATGGGATAACTACCATTTTACTGAAAATCATTTCAGCTACCAGAGCACATGGCGAAAAAAATTAAAAAATGTTTAGTTTTAAATTCTGTTCAATTCTAAGAATTATATTTTTTGTGCAACGTTTCTACTTCTTCTAGAATAATTATTCAACATATTATTATGAATTCGATCAAATATGTATGGCGTCATTAAGTCGACATGGCACGACCAATTTATATATGTCATTCATGTTATACGTGTAAAAGTTGTTTCGTATAATTATTAACTCACCTTTAAATCATATTTATGAATTTTATTTTTATTTTATATGAGTTTTTTTTTTTTTAAGTCGATAATGGAACTATATAGTTATTATAGCACTTATATTTTGTTTTTAGATTTTAAAACAACATGAGACATTTTCTTACGTAAAATACGCACGTAATAAATTGCTATGGTGGTTATAAATTAGTATAATATTTTGTTGAAAAATACGTCTATGTAATCGAATAGAAATGTGATGGGTCGGTCAATTTAATTTTGAATTTTTTTTTAAATATAAAAAGAGAGTGTCACAATTCGTAATGATTTACTACAAAAAATCACAAGATACAACCTTTCTATTTTTGATCTAAAAAATAATCAGTCTAATAAAAAAGACATAACTTATTATTATTTATTCTTCGGATAGATCTCAAATTTGAAGCTACTATTGAAAAATTCATTAAAATATTTACAAGCGAAACATATAATTTTAAAAATGTTGAATAATGAATAATGAAACTCTATATTACTTATTTTTATTTTTCACGATACATTTGTTTTTAGCTCATTGGATGAATCTAAGTAAAAATTTGAAAAATTTTGAGCACCATTTGGTAAGGATTTCAGAGATACCGTATGAATGGAAATGATATATCCTTTTGGATGGTAACATTTTCTTTCCAATTTTGATAATAATTAACTGTCTCATTTGTCAATTATATTAGTATAATAATATATATTTATTCACAATATAGATAGAAAATGTCTTCTTTCATACTGCATGAATGTGTAATAGTTTTAACAATATTTTTTATCACATTTTTTTTTTTTTTTTATTAATTTACGAGTAGATTCCAACAAAATAAGGGATTTTTGATAAGTTTTCTATAATTATTTTCCCCGGAAAAAGACGTGCACAGCACATTGTAATTATTTGATATTCCCAATAATTTTGTTTCAAGAGTAAGAATACGTTAGATGTGAATTTCGAACTTAAGTAGAAAGATCATTTTCAAATTAATAACTTATAAATAATAAATAATAAGGAAAATTGTGTGTGAATTTAAATATCTACTTGCAGATACTTTAAAATATGAGAAAATGTATATAGAATATTATGACATTAATTAAAATTACTGTCAAATTTGGTATTTCCGTTTTAAAAGGTATCTATGATACAATAAGAGGTAAAAAGAAAGAAGTTAATCATTTTTTAAATAAGTTTAATGAAGAACGTATTAAACAACATGACCAATATATTTATATTAATTTAAAATTATATGACCCATACAATAATTATTTCTAAAGCTATTGGTACTGTTCATTATTAAAATAATCTTACCTCAGGCACAGAATATATGGACATAACACTTAATAGTTATGTAATAGTAATGTGCCATTCGCGCATAGAAAACTAGCACAATCTACTTTCTTATAATATATAGGTCTAAAAATATATATTATTTGTTACTAATTGACTAATAAGTTATGAGTTTCATTCTATATCTAATTATTTAATTAATTACAAAAAAACATACATATTACATTTTATATACATTAGAATTTATTAGAATTATTAATTTAATAGTGATAAATCTAATACTTATAAAATATAATATTTATTTAAAGTTATTATTTCAATTTTATAATAACTTAATCACTACGCATACAATTGTATTATTTAATTGTAATTTGTGAACCCATTGGTTCTCATACGAACTTGGGCAGTCTATTTAAATATTCTTGAAAAAAAAATAAATAAATTTTCTGACTTTTAGAACATCTTAATCAACGTGCCACTTTAAGTCAAAGCCCCATAAAGCATAAAATTAAACCTTTTGAATTATACTAATACTTACCATATTTATAATCATTAATTACCTACTAATAAACACAAGGTAACTTGAAAATTACATG